CTATTAAGAAGACGTACAGTTTTGATCATAACCTCGAGTAAGTGGAGAGGAAAGCCGATATAGTGTGGTGTAGAGGAGATATGGTATGGTATGCAAGGTGTGGTATGGAATGTTGCGGTATGGTATGTTACTATGTTGCGACATGGTATAATGTAGCATGGTATGGTATGATCTCGAACTGTCTGTGCCAGTTTAGGTAGGACCAATAATATGAACAAGCTTCTGTTGGTAGGGATGCGACAACCTGAAAATATATAAAGAGAATTTCGACGTTTCGAGCGAAGGCTCTTCGTCTGGAGGGCTCGAAATTCTCCTCATGTATTTTCATGTAGTTACATTCCTACCAACGAAAGCTCGTTCGTATGATATGGTATGGTATGGTATGATATGGTATGGTATGGTATGGTATGGTATGGTATGGTATGGTATGGTATGGTATGGTATGGTATGGTATGGTATGGTATGGTATGATATGGTATGGTATGGTATGGTATGGTATGGTATGGTATGGTATGGTATGGTATGGTATGGTATGATATGGTATGGTATAGTGTGGTATGGTATGGTATGATATGGTATGATATGGTATGGTATGGTATGGTATGGTATGATATGGTATGGTATAGTGTGGTATGGTATGGTATGGTATGGTATGGTATGGTATGGTATGCTATGCTATGTTATGGTAGTGTTACGGTAGATGTATGGTATGGTAGGTGTGGTGTGATATAGTGTGGTAAGTGTGGTATGGAATGGTGTGGTATGGTTTGATATGGTTGGGATGCTTTCCTGCAGTATTGCATGGTATGGTATAGTATTGTCTTCATGAACACTTATTTTTAATTCATCGATTCATTTAGGTTGATGAGAAAATGCTACGAGCAGCTTACTTTATTCTATCTCGCCAAGGCAGAAAAAATGAGAGAAGAACTAGCAAACCAAGAGGCATCACGGGCCAGTGACACTCCTAATTTATCCCGTGTTGTTACAAAACTTGCACGGAAGGATCCCGAAGGTAAAATAAAAGATAAACATGCCCTTTTGGTGAAACGTGAAACGAAGAAGGAACTTAGAGCTATTTGGATTGCTGCTCGAGCCGTGACCACACTTACCGCTGTTATTGACACTCGCGGGCAACTTCATGGCAATGTTACTGGACTTTTGATCTCCAAGACGAGCGGGGAAAAGATCCCTCTTCCTGTCATCCATGATTTGTTAGGTTCCGTTTCAATTGTATTGAGACCAGAGGTTGAGCATTTTATTCAAGAAGACGGCGTTATTACTATGGAGTCTTGGATCAATGGCTCGAACATGGTCCAGTTAACCTGGAATCATCTGCTAAGCTACATCGAGTACCTACAACGACAAATTAGTTACCAATCGCTTGGGGTAAAAACGCACGGTGGTCCGTTATTCCGCTGGCCCAAGTTGCTGAAGTTGCACCAGTTGCACGAGTTCCTAGGCTCGGAGTTGGAGGTTTATGTTAAGAATGGTTATGGTGTGAAATGTTCACCATTGTTGTTGCTGCCTGACCTTCCCGTTAAAAAGGATGAGAGTGATTCTCGGATCAAAGGTAAGAGTGGTTTTGGTACAGTTGGGTTTCATTATGTGTTGAAAGGCTTTTGTAGGCGATAATTTAGAGCAGAAAATATATACATATTATAGAGAGCATTTTAACAGGGAGCATTTCAACTTCGTCCCCAGGGGGGAAGAGGAGGGGAGGCTGGGATTCCAGTGCAGCGCCTGGCTAACATCATTAACATCATAGCTAAGTTCATGTATATATACTAAGGTGTATGGTGTAAGGGTGTGCCTTTCACCAGGGGCACAGAATAAAAACACACAGAAGATCGACTCAGCCAAAGATGCGTAACCGCTGCCACACCATGATTCATCATCAAACTGCTGACGCCATTGTCCTAGCCACCATTTTGAATATTATCAGGGGGGTGAATGCCTCTCATAAGCGCACTGGCTAGGACCATGGCGTCAGCATTTTGATGACGAATTACGGTTACGCCAAAATCATAGGAAAAACCAAGATGTCGGGCTTCTGTTTGTCTCTATTCTGTGCCATTCCTGCAATGTGCAGTTGTCTGATTGTAGTTTCAGGTAATTACCGCGGTTTTCTCGGCGTACATTGTAACACTGTGTTACAGTATGTTGTAACACTGGATAAATAATTAAGGAAGTAGCCTTTCCTGGACCTCTAGGGAGCGCAGTTTAGAACTGATAGTTTTTTGGCCATACTGTCTGTACTTGTAGAATAAACACAATATTATAATAAAATTAGTCCACAACTTTAACAACGTACTTTTTATATGCAGGCAGGAGCGTGGACGAAGCAGGTGAGAATGAAATAAGCATCAGTTGGGTGAAGTCAAATCCGTTATCTAAACGATTCAAGAAAGAAGAGGACGAAGTTGAGTGTATTTATGCATTCAACAACAAGGCAATCAGCGGTGTTCCAATAGCTGGTGTTAGTGCTGGAAAGAAGGTTGTGCTTCGTCAGACCCTTGCTGAGGTTCATGAGCAGTTGCAGTGTTTGTTAGAAATGGCCGAAAATGACTATGCATTGCTACAAAGTACGTGTTTTTATGGGGATTTTAATTGTATGGTGTTTCGTGGTGTGTGTGGTATAATATGGTGTTTTGTGGGTTTTATGTGTGTGGTATGACACATGGTATGCTATGATATACTACGGTATGATGTAGTATGGTATTGTATGGATGGGATGGGATGGTAAGGAATGGTATGGTATGGTATGGTGTGATATGATATGTGGTGTGATATGTTATAGTATGGTTTGGTATAATGTGCTGTGGTTTGGTGTGGTATGGTATGGTATGGTATGGTATTGTATTGTATGGTATAGGATGGTATGGTGTGGAATGGTATGGTATAGTATTGTATTGTATAGTATGGTATTTAGTATTGTATTTGGTATGGTATTTGGTATGGTATTTGGTATGGTATTTGGTATGGTATTTGGTATGGTATTTGGTATGGTATTTGGTATGGTATTTGGTATGGTATTTGGTATGGTCCTTGGTATGGTCCTTGGTACGGTAGTATGCCGTTAGGTATACACAGGAGATTACAGTTTTGAGGTTTATATAGCGTAGTTGATTTAAAAATCTACGTTATCTCTTCAGCAAGAGCATCAAAACCTGACGCCCCACCAGTGTCAAGTGGTACACCACAGACTGCGCGTAAGAAGAAGGTCAGTGGCATCAGAATGTTGTCAGGTCGTGGAACACGTGATCTTCAAATTCAAAACAGTCTTAGAGGATGTCTGAATGCTGCCACCAAGATGATGAAACCGCTTATGTCTGAGAAGAAAGTAAGATTATTTCTTCTCATCGTATACTGTAAGATGCTGTGTCTTTTGAACTTTTGAAAAAGATGCCAATGGCTTACCAACCTCCTTTGTCTGTTGACTTCCTGACCAAGAAGCTCTCACTCGATACGTCGAAATGGTTTTTACGCCTGTATTCTAAAAGCTCACTTACACTTACACTCAAGAAGTGGAGGTTCAATCTGAGCTTCCCTTGACTTCCCTTGAATAGCGCGAGAGTGCGAAGTAGTTGTAGTTCGCTACTGTAGCGAACTATAATTTTCAATTAGCCAGTAGTTTTTGACTACTTTTTTCAAACAGTAGCTTTAGTTATAGCGAACTACATTTTGCCTAAAAGTAGCCAAGTAGTTGACTAGGCGTAAAAAAAAAAATACCTGTGGTTCCGGTTCCCGACCGACCCTATTTTTTTCTGCCGACCCTATTATTTTTTCAACGCAATTGACCGTGCGACCCTATTTTCTACAGGTGGTTGCGGGCTGCTCATGCAGCGTGCCAAAATGGCGTCTATTGTCACATTATAATTATTGAACCAAATTGCCTAAATTCGTCCATAGGAAATACGCATCTCTAGTTAACATTGATGTCGGGACTCTACTGCAAATCGCCCAGCAAAAAACCGCCAAATCCATGAAAAAAATATTAAAAAAAAAAGTTATTTCCGACCTACCGACCCTAATTTTTTCACGATATGAAACCGGAACCACAGGTTTTTTTTTACGCCCTACTTTTCAAACAGCGAATCGCTATTCGCTACTTTTTAAATTGTGAGCAACTAGATATAATAGCATGATATTTAGACACGGTTTGCTTAAAATCAATACTCAATAGTCAATTTGCACTCTTGAATACTGTAGTGCTTACAAAAATGTTGCTTTGTGTTTACTGTTGGCTGTTGCTACCCGTAAGTCGATTTGTTATAGGTTACATAACAGCCTGAGTTAGTAGATGCTCCAAATACAGTAAAACTAAAAAATATAGCATAGCAAAATAGCGAAATTTTTTAAGCAGTAGCTGTAGTCAGTAGCGAACTACCTTTGTACAAAAGTGACAGTAGTTGTAGCTGACTACATATTTTTGAAGTTATCTGTAGTTATAGCGAACTACAAAATTTTTGTAGTCAACTCACCCTTGCTTGCTTGTCAACTCTCATCAGCTTGTGCTCTCAATATTTTCCATCTCATTCCAATTTCAGGACGTTCCATTCGAAGCCTCCCATTCAAATGTGCGTATCTTAGAAAGCGTGTTCAACCCATCTCGTGGTTACATTGGTAAAGTTCCAGACTCTATATATCAGTGGATATCGTCAATTTTTGTTTGACTGATTCATTTTTACTCGGTTCGATCAAAATGTTTTAACTTGTATATTTGTAAAATGTTCTGTAATATTTGTTGTGAAATTTTAATTTATAAAATGTTATATATGGTATAAATAAGTTTAAATATATTGATATGGATTTTAAATTTGGATTACCCCAAGCCCAGAGGATTACCCCAAGCCCAAAATCTGCTCTAAATCGGATAGATTAGCGCTCATAGCTGAATACCAGAGGCTGAATACCAAGCATAAGCGCGGGAAATTTTTGCGCGAATACTGATTATTACACGCGTGTAGTGCACGACACGCAGCAAACACGTGGGAAAAAGAAAAATACCAGACTGTTGTGTACTTGTGTTGGAAAATTTTGACAAGAAATAGATTATTCTTCTAGCTAAATACAGGTAAATCGATGCATTAAAAGATTTTAGAACTCGTGTAGCACACGGCTTCATGATGAGGCGAGCCAACGCCGACAGCTCGCACAATATTACCGTATCTATGGTACACGATTTCTTCAATTTATCTGCACCAAAACCAAAGACTGAGGCTTGTCCCAAAGTGAAAGGTAGACAGCCAGAGGAATTTAATGATGGCACCAGAGAGGCTGGAATTAATTTCAAGTTAATGAAGACTGAAGATCGTGAAAGGTAGGTTATACTGATTTAAACGAGACTAAATGCAAATATAAATTGAACAAGCCAGTATAAAGCCACAACATATTTACATGTATTATTATTTAGGGTCTTCCAGGCGTTTTTAATAGCGAACAAGGGTGTATTTTGCAATGGGAACACAGGAGCAAAACCCAAAAAATCTTAGGGAACATGGTGAACCTTTTTGGGAACAAAGGAGAATTTGTTAAGTGAACACTGAACATGCACACTATAACCCCCCCTGGGAGGCCCTCGTTACCAGGGTGCATTCCGTGTAAACTCTACGCCGAAGATACACCAATATTAACTATAAATAGTATTGGAATTTGCCAAACTCACGCCGGATATTGTCACACTTTTGTGCACAGAATGCACCCTGGCCTCATTATTTGGCTGTCTGTCTGAACCCAAGGTGCATTCCATGTAAACTTTAGATGTATGCTGGAGATGTGCCAACATTCGCCCTTGATCGCACCAATATGTCAAAAAATTTACTTTGGGGGAAGCCATGTCGAAAGAGACAATTCTATAATTATATGAAATAGACAATTCTATAATCATATGAAATAGATTAAGAACACGTTGATCTTTCGGCCATTCTTCATCATGAAAAACCTTCGATTGAAATGTCAAAGTGATTTTTGATGTAGTTTAGACACAAACCACAGGGTCTGAAATTTAAATATCTTTTCAGTATCCAACTGGGGTACCAGGATTCAAAGTTTAGTACCCCCCCTCCCCCCCTGTGAATGCAGTATCCCACCTCTGGATAGTGGTTACCATAAGTATTCTACCCTGTCCCATCCAATAACTCTCGCTGTTACAAATTACAATAACAACAGTTGTCAACAACTAGACAATTTATTAATACACAAAAGTGCACATTATATGAGGAAAGGCTTGGGTGGCAAACTCATAGTATTCAAAAGCTATCAGGAGACTGTCAGAGGTGCTTAACATTTTCCTAATGTTTGAAATTTTCTTAGTATCCAGTTGGGATATAAGTCATTCACAGTTTGGTATCCAAAACCAAATTTTAGCATCCCGTGGATATCGGGATACTGCAAATTTCAGACACTGAACCATGATCCATGCCAGCATACCTACACTTGACCCACACATTTGCCAACACTGTAGTATGGAAAATATATATTTGGGTGGCTGTAATCCCTGATACAGTAAACTATGGTAAATTTCTCTTGGTGCAAATAGTGTTGCAAATGGCATTTTGACAATGATGCAAATGGCAATTTTCACAAATACAGGTATGGTCCTCACTAAATTTTGGTCTAGACAAAAATTTCATCACAACTTGAAAGAGCATCACAAAATTAGTAATATTCCAAAGTTTCGTTGCGAAATGTTGTAAAATGCGGATAATATAGCCTTGCGAAATTTGCAATTTTCAGTCATTTTGTATTGCAAATGGGAAATTGATGCCCCAACACCCGATTGGGCTGTCAATTTCCCGTGCATAATACAAAATGACTGAAAAACGGCAAAAATTTGCAAGGCTATATTATCCGCATTTTAAAACATTTCACAACTAAACTTTGGAATATTACTAATTTTGTGATGCCCTTTCAAGCTGTGATGAAATTTTTGTCTAGACTTGTCTAGATCAAAATTTAGTCTATAATGCAAATGGTCCATTTAGGGTTCCAGTACTTGTTGAAATGTCAAACCATAGCTGCAAAATAATTAAATTGCCCTGCATGAAGACAAGCATTGATTATGATTGCCATAGTAAATGTTTTGCAAAATTTTATTTCCAGCTATCACAATGAACCCAATCTACCAACAGAAGAAGATTTTCCAGAGCTTAATGAGGACTTTCAAAATCTTGACGTTGTGGACAACACACCAAGTCCAATGCCTGTCAAGCTTGAAGAAGATGAACATATATTTGAAAATTATTCATTTGAACATACTTATTCCCCAAAGCTGCCAATCACAAATTTCCAAAATGAAGTTCTTAGTACTATTGAAAGTAATTCTGTCACCGTGGTTCAAGGTACGGCAGTTATTAACTAAATTATTGTCCCATCTACGCGAGGTTTGGGTGTAATAATATATGCTTTTGTTTAAATCCCTGATCTAAAGCAGGAATTTCTGCATTTATGAAGACAAGGCTCTCACATTTCCCATTGCTTTTTCAGGTGCTACTGGTTCTGGGAAAACCACCCAAGTTCCGCAGTATATCTTAGACCACTACATAAGACATAAACGTTACTGCAACATCATTGTGACACAACCACGTCGTATTGCTGCAATTAGTATTGCGAAACGTGTGTGTCATGAACGATCGTGGGAAATGGGTGGTCTTGTGGGATATCAGGTGGCACGGGACAAGACAATCAGTGATGATACGAGGATATCTTATGTCACTACTGGGGTACTGCTGCAAAAATTGATCACAGCAAAATCTCTTAATGAGTACACACATGTTATTTTAGATGAGGTAATGTGGATATTATACCGTGTTCATAATGTGAAATATTTTCTATCCTGATATGAAGATGCAAAGATTAGGGATAGGATTAAAGACCATGTAAAGTCCGTAATGTAAACAAACGCTTTGTTTACATTTTGAACTCACTGCTACAGTTGTAAAATATGTTTAGATATATATTTTACTGAATTTTTAACACTCTTCTGGTTCGCTATGCTTTGTAAATGAATACAGACTAGAGATTCAATTCAAGAAAGTTCAAAAGATACGAAATATTAATAACATTCCAACGGTCGGGTCCCGACCATTGAAATGTAAGCCTGCGCAGAACGTATGCGCAGAACGGACTTTACATGGTCTTTAAGGGTTGAGATTGTGGTTTGGATTAAAATATGCAAATTTCGGTAAATAACCAATTTCTCGTTTATTTTATATTTCAACTAGTTTAGTTCAGTTATAAAGACCTCTGTTCTTTAAACAGTCAATAAACAATTGCCATCAATATCTATTTTTGTAGGTACACGAACGGGACCAGGACACAGATTTTGCATTGCTTGTTGTGCGAAAACTTTTGAGAACAAACTCTAAACATGTCAAAGTGGTGTTGATGTCCGCCACATTAGATAGTGATATGTTTTCACGTTATTTCTCGCTTCCCATCAATGGCAGACTGGAGGGTGCCCCTGTGGTCACAGTCGAAGGAAGATCATATCCTATTGAAGAATTTTATTTGAATGAAGTCATTGAAGCAGTACGTAAGGTGAGTAATTCGGAAAGAAGTAAATAAAAAGAAGTTAAGCCTAATTTGCACTATCAAAGTTTCTGTGATCACAGTAGGAATTTTGCATGGATAAAGTGTAGGTAAGTTTTGAAGGATTTGTAAGAAGGGAACTGAGACAGTGTTTAACATGAGAGTTTATGGCTAACAACTCCAAAAATCATGTGCAGCTAGGTATGGGTATCTAAGCCTGGAGTTAATGGCTGTGCCATCATAGGCTAAGCTCCATTTGAAGATTGGCCACCTCCACAAAAATAAAATCTGCTTATCTGCAGGCATGAAAAGCAGGTTATTTTAAGATTCGACTATAGCTACAGCACAAGTAAGAGTACAAGTCAATATCTGTATTTTTTATGCCAAATGCTATATTTCCCCCATTATATTCAGTGCCTACTTATGATAGCAAAATACTGTATATAGTTTAATTAAGCTCTCTCATGTACTGTATAACCTTTTTCATGAAGATTTTAGTCTAACAGCATAGCCTTAATGCAAAAGATTTATGACACAGCAGAAACGTTAGTACCCCAGCAGAGCATCTTGCCAATGTCACAATGTGGCCAGTCACTTCCTAGTACAAGAACAACAAAGAGTCACCTTAAGTTATCTATTTCAGCGGAGCCTACCATTGTTAGACCCAGGAGAACCAGGCATTGTCGAAGAACAATATCACACAGCTGCGTCTCTGATTGGTCAGCTGGATGCCTGGGAAATTCGTGTGCAGGGTGCGACCGATAATGGGTTTGCTGGGGAGAGAGGAAGTGTGTTGGTATTCCTACCTGGTAAGGATTGCCCCCATGCCCATCACAAGATAGGGAGAGGGGAACAGTTGATCAATAATTCACATGCAATGGGTCCTTTCCTGTTTGAATGTTTCCTTATGGATTTCCACCAGTGCATCTTTTACTACCCCAAGTACATGCTTTGCTTCTTGTCTATCTGGAGTTTATGTTAGGAGCCGACCATTAGAGACATGATGACGGGGGGGGGGGGGGGGATTGCCAAAGAAAAAAACTGCAAGGAGGAAGACAAAGAAGAGTACTTTTGATATTCCCCAAAATATTCCAGCACAAACAGACAGCAGAAAAAAAAATTGTGCATGTTGAAACCGATCACTTTTCTAATGGTCGGCCCCTTAATGATAATTATTATGATGTCACCATGACGTCACACGTACGCATTGTGTGCCTATTTTTAAGTCATTTGAGCAACTGCTCCCCTATACCTTCACTATTAATTTGTGTTCTTTTTCACATTGCTACTAAACTATGTCTACAAATGTTGTGATAACATTGTTATCTCGTGACGTCACACGTACGCATTGGGTACCTATTTTTAGTAACATTTTTTTATCAGGTAAAGAGCATATTAAAGACATGGATAAAATGTTGAATGATGTATGTTGGGAAAGACAGTAAGTGTTTGCTGTCTGTATGATGACTCGAAATGCAAATAGTTGTAAGCCAAGGACCAATCGATCACGTTTTGGTTGACTCAATATTTTCGCCTAAAACTGTCGCATGCAACCTGCTTACAACTTTCGTTGTGCTGTGTAAATCAAGCACACAACTTACCTACAGTAACTAGGACAACGTAGACGAGTTGTGTGCTTGATTCACATAGTACATACAACGAAAGTTGTAAGCAGTTTGCATGCGACAAATCGACCATTAGGTATTTATAATTTTTTTCTTGCTTTTCACTTTGTAAAATAAAAGAACTAAATAAGCAATGTATATGTGTTTATACTGTCCGCAATATATCGCAAACCGTATCAGACATGCATAATTTCGTGATGGTTTGTGCAACATTTTTGAGGCCAAAATGCTGTAAGGTTTTCTGGGTTGGGAACCCATGAACAGCAGACCTGAATCTCTAACTTAAAATGTAATAAAACAAGCCGATAACAGAGAATATTGCGTTCTAGTTTACCATAATTTCTTATTTCACCACAGTCTCTGGGTTCTACCCTTGCATTCACAAATCACGAACGAAGAGCAAAGTCAAGTTTTTCGAAACCCACCGAAACCACAAGAAGGAAAACCAAGATATAGGAAGGTGTGTTATAGTGTGAAAGTCTAGAGGCTGTCATGATCAAGTCATAGCGATAGTCTGGTGCATATGTTTGGAGTTGTCTAAAACGCACAAGTTCTAGCAAACTTGCGGAAGACTTGTAACAATGCTGTTCCAACAACTTGTCAACAGAATGTGTTTGCTCTGCTTGTTGACAATAGACTTGTTACAAGTTGTTCCAAGAACTTGTTATCGTCCTGCAAATCAACAATTTGTCTACAAGTTGTGACTGACAACCTTGTAGTAACTTGATAAAATAACAGCATTGTTACAACTTGTTGACAAGCTTGCTACAAGCCTGTTGCGAATATTTCTTGACAAGTTGTGAGATTTTTACTTGTGTGGCAGGCGTTTGTTAAAAATACAAGCTGACACACACGTAAAACGCACAGGTTGTTACAGGTCAGCAAACAACTTGTTACAAATCTGTTCACAAGTCGTGTTCGCACTGCTTGTTCACCAGTTGTTGTAACAAGTTTGGGACAAGCTGTTAACAACTTGCAACAAGCTTGATGGCATTATCAGACTTGTTACAAGGTTGTTCTAACAAGTTTCATACAATCTTGATATAACAAGAGTGTTACAAGGTTGACCACACAAGTTTGTAACAATATTGTTATATCATGACTGTATATCGGACTTGTTGGAACAACCTTGCAACAAGTCTGATAATATCAACAAGGTTGTTACAAATTGTTAACTAACAGCTTGTTTCAAACGTGTTGACAACAAGGGGAACACAACTTGTAGACACCTTACCTTGTTGGCAGATATGAGATTTGGCAGTTACTGCAATATGTGAGATTTTTACGCGTGTTATGTAGCTTGGCGGGTGTGCCCGATATAAACAACAATTATAATTTGAATTTTTAGATTATTTTGTCAACCAATATCGCCGAAAGTTCAATTACTGTACCTGATGTGAAATACGGTAAAACACGCTAATTTTGCAGCATGTTCATGAGGAATTCGTATAGCTCAATATCCAGATATGTGTCTACTGCTTTTTATATGATATATAAAAATAATGTATTACTTTGTAGTGATTGATTTTTGCCTTGTGAAGTGCCTCATTTGTGACCCAGAGACAAATTATCAAAGTTTGAGAATGCAATGGTCCTCTCATGCTTCGGCTACTCAACGTAAAGGTGAGTTTTTGTGTTTTATTTTATGCAAAATATGATCCAAAGTGCTGTGTACCAGTCACCAGTGCTAACTCATTCAAGAGCATTTGACTTATTTTATTTCCCCCCTATGTACAACATTACATAACCAAACAATCAAGATAATATTTACAAGTGATAAGGCCAAAGAACTGTTAGAAACCTTAACATGCTTTTGATTTAGGCCTCTAGTAATATTCAATATAAATTACATATTGAAATTACTTCTTATAATACAGTCAAATGAAATAAAGGAAAGAAATGTTTTAAAGTACAGTATAGGATATTTACAAACGAAAAGAAGCAGAATTGTGTTCTATTTAATAAAATATGAAGATAAAAATGTGTGCTGCTACCTGTATATGTATAGGTTATTTTGAGGCAACGAGGGGATATGTGATTTATTCACCGAGGCGCGCAGCGCCGAGGTGAATAAACACATATCCCCGAGGTGCCTCAAAATAACGTACTTATTTTTCACACTGCGAGGTCGCGTTAATGAGTCAGAAAAGAAATAATTCTTAATGCCATATTGCCTTCGCGATGTTGTTTTTCCTCATTTTTTGTGCTGCAAAGACATTGCAGGTGAAATATTAGAGGGGATTATTAATTGCAGGTGAATATTAGAGGGGATTATTAAACGGAAATTGATTAGAGGGGAATATTGATTATATTCCCCGACAAGAACAAAGGAAACCGAGCAGGGTGAAAAATAAGATGAGACATTGTCCTATATTTATTTGAAAAACCTACACGCAGCATTCCAATATACTATAATTACAAGTGATTTATATGTTTTAATTGGTCTAATTATGAGTCGATAACTACTTTCATTAAAAAATATTGTTTTTTGAATTTTCAGGTCGTGCTGGTCGTGTGTCGGCAGGGAAATGCTTTAGATTGGTGACAAAGGAATTCTATGAAAAATGCATGGAACCTTACTCAATTCCAGAATTTAAAGTAAGAAAATATTGAATCATGCACAGAAGTCTTACCTGATAATTTGAATCTATTCTCAGAATGTTGACCGAAAATATCAACATTCTGAGAATGGAACGTCAAAGACATTCAAATATAAACTGCCGTGGTCTGTATTTGCTTGATTTATTAAATTACAACGAATGTGTTATATTTAGCGTGCTCCGTTGGAGCAAATCATTCTTAAAGTGAAGTTACTGGATCTTGGTGCTCCTAAGTCCATCTTGGCTCTGGCACTTCAGCCTCCTGATGTCCGCGATATTGAGAGAACAATCCTGATTCTTAAAGAGGTCAGTAAAACATTAGGTAGAAAAACAATTTAGCCTCCACCCCCATCTGACCAGTTAGGGGAGGCAACAAGGTTACCACTGGGTTAAGCCTGAGGGTAGAGTTTTGTTATTTGATGGATATCCCTGCCCTGTCTTGACATGCTTGAAAACTCATTCAAATGGCAGTAGGTTCTCTCGTGTGGTTCGAGAGTTTTTCTCCAGCACCTCTGGTTTTCCTCCTTCTTTAAAAACAAACCTTTTGGACATACATGTAGCTATCGCTCCGTGATCAGGCATCATGCAGCCATGCCGAGACTGCCTTTGTCAAGGTCACATCCGAGCTGCGTCCTTCGCTGTTCAAACTCTCAGTTGCGAGCAGGCTTTTAGCCAGAAGGGCGTCCTGAGACGCCCCTAGAACAAAAAATGGACGCCTTTGGACGCCTAAATTCTGGGGAGAAAGGGAAATTATTTTCAATGATTTCCCTAATTCTCATTATTATTATACATTTGACATTTTGATAAATTTGATGGTGTACCTGGCTGAATGAAAATGTCGTAGTTACCTGTAATTAAGTAAAGAAGCATAGCGGCACAAACTCACAAAGCCAAGTGTGTTTGAAAAATTTCGAACGAGCTTGGAACAGATACTGACATGAAGTAACGTAAACTTCAAAGGTTTTCCAGAGGAACAGTTTCTCGCCCCCCCCCCCCCTGTAGATGTTTCGTTATACAAAAATTGGACGCCCTCTTTTAGGACCCTGGTTAAAAGCCAGGTTGCGAGTGATGATGACTGGCACCCCCCACTCACCTACCTTTAACTATATTATTATTCAACAGCTTGGTGCTCTGACGACCAAGATGCGAAATGGTATAATCAATCCTTTCGATGGAGAACTGACCTTTCTTGGACGTGTTCTCGGAGATATGCCTTGTGACATCCGTATCGGGAAGTTGCTTGTCTTGGGTCATGTCTTCGGCGTCTTGGAGGAGGCTATAGTGATAGGTTCGTTTCGAAATACTTGCAATGATAGCAATTTTAAGGTGGGTGGGTTGTATTGACCGATTCGAAAACTACCTACCAAAAGTTTGCATTATTCTCTATTTTATACATTACCAGGCTGGGAAACGATTTTTCAACAGAGACTGCTATTTAAAGCAAAGTTTTAAGAGTTCAAAATTAAAAATAACCCATGCAAGCAAAATTATAGCCCTTTGGAATGTTCAAAGAGAACCAAAACGAGGCTAGTCAGGCTTGTTTGTTAAATCTAGCATAAATTTCGGTATTTTTAACATTTCGGTATTATATTTATATTTTGCAATTTGCAAAACTGTTATCTTTTGCATCAGAGGGATAATGTTGAATACAAAGGGGTAATATTGAACAAATAAAGACAAACAAACAAACAAACAAACAAACAAACAAACAAACAAACAAACAAACAAACAAACAAACAAACAAACAAACAAACAAACAAACAAACAAACAAACAACAAAACCGAAGTTTTCAAAATGGCGGCTAGCCGTTGTGTGGCATTATACTGATAAAGAAATAAGCGAAATTAAAATAAATTCAGTCCCAAAAAACACAAAAAATACTAAAACAATTATTCGCCTCAGGCTCGGTGATTATCGGGGAATATTCACCTCGACTTCGTCTCGGCGAATATTCTCCGATAATCACCTCGCCTTCGGCGAATAATTGTTAAATATTATTGGCACTACCCACACTGGCACAGACAGCTCAAGATTATATCTTTGGCAACACGGACGCTGAAGCTGTATTTTGCTTGTGATTTGTCTTGATGAAAACGTTCGTGTTCTTCGATAATTTTGAAGACGTGAATGATATTTGGTATAAATTAACTCAAAGTTTATGTCTTGTATCAGATATACAAGCTCCTTCATGGTCATGATTTTCTTTTTTCCTCATGAATTACCGATTAAAGTTTAAAAAAATTATCCTGAATTATCTTCCAGGTGCTTGTCTTAGTCAAAGGTCATTTTTTTCTCAACCGTTTAAACAAGAGTTAAGTACTTACAGGTAAAATAATGGTTAATTTCTATGTCCATATGTTTTCTAATTTGCAGTACGCAGTACTATCATTTGCCAATAGAGAGGTTAAGATACCCCGGTTTCGGTGTACGGGTACGAGTAGTGTCATCTTGTTTTACTGATGTCTGTAATTCCATCATACTTTTTCTGCTTTCTTGCAATAGACAATGATATAATGCGAAAAATGTGCACCTTAATTACGAGTAAAGGTGCAAACATCGACGAAAATATTGCTAACCAAAATCATGCTACCCGTACACGTACACCGAAACCGGTGTATCTTAACCTCTCTAATATCCACCCCCACCCGCTTTCCATGCCTAGAGGAGGGGGGGGGGGGTACACCCTCCCCTACATCTCCAGTAAATCCATCCCTAATACCTTATGCTGTACGTATTTTTACAGATGGAAAATGTCCTGGTCAAATTATTCCAACAGTGATTGTCTTGCTTCACTTAATGCTTATAGAGTAAGTTTAATGTATCCAAGTATCTAGTGTAGGTAATCCTCCACAATAAACTGGTGTGTGATCATACCGAATTTTTTACTCAAGGAATGGAAGAAATTGTGTGACACTCGAGGTTTTGGAAGAAAGGTGAGTATATAGACTTTCTTACTGCCAAACTGACTTTATGTATACTTTATGACTCTTTCAGTTCTGAAGTGTTCTCCCTAGAGATCCAGTAACGATCATCCCGATAGCAACTGCTTTACTCGGTACAAGTGGTGTTTTTAATTTTTAGGGAGAAATTGGTTGGTGTAAATCCAAATTTGTTCAGCGAAACAGAATTCACGAGGTATTTGAACCTGGCGTTTTAAACACCTTCAAACATTCAATAATTCATGAAGAAAATTCAAAAGAAACGAATGTTTAATCAATGTTTGTAAATCGGATAAAGATTTGTCCTGATTTACTTCAGCTTTGATTTTCTCGGCTTAGACAATGTTTATTTTTAAAATTACTTCGCCAATGAAATCGGCTGCTCATGTTTTATCTAGTACTTAACGAAACCAATGTGACTGAATGGACTCCCTTTAACGGAAGTTTGTCTCCATAATACAACCACAGCCATTTTCGTTGTCTCAATGTACAGTGTTAACTCGCATTAAGTACTTTCACTGTGTTTTGTAGGTTGAGAAGGTAGTCAACGAACTTACTGAAAGACTACAGAGATTTAACATACGCACATTTCGGGCTTTGCATCAAAGGTTAATATGATTGTTGTTATCAGTTTGATATTTAATTTGGATCTTGACTAAAAGTACACACGAGTGACACTAATTCTGCTGTGAATATATTTTTACAGTTTTGTATTTACTATATAATTTTAGGAGACACGATTCTACTCAGCACGATGAGCTGATTTTAAAGGTTTGTCAATCGACTGTACTCTGTAGTAGTTTATTTCGTTCGCAATTTTTCCTGAATTTCGATGTTATTAGGTTGTTATCTGCGGCAGTTTCTATCCCAATTATTTCACGTCTGGTGAAATAGATGAACGCGAAGCGTTGAAGACGATGTCAGGACATGATCCTTTCACCACCGTCATGGTAAGTTGCAACTTGAAAACATTTAACAGCACTTTTACGAATGGAGGACAACAACTTTGCCGTGCAGCTGATTGTGTATAACTTCCAACGCACCTCGATTCTCGCGCGTGCGTCACGCAACCAGTTAGCACATCAAAGCGCCTGGGACGAGGCTGTATAACTAGGAAGAGATTATTTCGCTGGCCTCAAAGTGACAAAACGTAACAAAGCAACGGTTTTACTAACACTAATCCTACTCCAAACACCAACTCTAACCATAACCCTAACCTAACCCTACTACAAATTTGTTTCTAAACCAATCTTGAAGAAAAAGTTTTGACGAAATGTCATTCTGAGGTCAGCGAAATAGTTGATGCCCTATAACTTCAGAAATGTTAACGTTTACACTTACTTGGCTTGTGAGTGACGTCACAACGCATCATGTGGAGTAATTTGTTACTTCCACTATTTTGGGTGGCAAATATTTAAAGCTAAATACAAACATACACGGCATCAACGACCTTGGCTATGGAGCCTCGTTTTCGTGGTTGAGACGTTGGGCTTTGACTGATGTCACATACACGAGAATGAGGCCCTATGGCCAAAGTGGCGTACTTTCCGGAATGATGTATTTGCTGTCAACGGACCTATTCCCTAATGAACAAAATATTGATCTAGACAAACATTTCACCACAGCTTGAAAGAGCATCACAAAATTAGTAATATTCCGAAGTTTCGTTGCGAAATGTTGTAAAATGCGGAAAATATAACACTGCGAAGTTTGCCGTTCTTCTGTCATTTTGTATTACGCATGGGAAACTGACACCGCTTTCTGAAAAAAGGTATCAATTTCCCGTGCATAATACAACATGACTGAAAAATGACCGCAACGCAACTTCGGAATATTAATAATTTTGTGATGCTCTTTCAAGCCGTGATAAAATTTTTGTCTAGACATGTCTAGATCAAAATGTCGTTCATTAGGTAATAGGTCCATTGGAGCTTTATTGTTTAATCTAGGTAAAAGGTTTGCCAATATATGGACAACATTATAACAGTGCCATCGCAAGAATGTTCAGATCCTGTGGGCAAGGGAAGAATCTTTACTTCGAAGGAAGAAGGTGAGAGAAACTTTCAACACACGTTTTTATTTTTTGAGACGTTTCTCAATCGAAATGATTTTTTAGCTGTAAAATAATGCTAAAATGAAGAGATTTTAGATTGTACGCCAAAGAGAAAATTATGTCTGAAGTTCGTGATGTTACTCTAGTGTGCATCCACACCGGGCAAGCTGAAAAGTTTGCCTGACCAATTTTACAAATTGACAATTTTTTACTATCATTTTATATTTTTCAACCGGCAAATACATTTAAAAAGGCAGCAAACTGCATAAACTAGAAAATAAAGCTAAAACAACGCATTTTTGACAGGTACAACGCCAAAACTGATTTCGGTTTTGAACACTTTATAATATATCTTGTTCTGCAGGAGATAGATTACTTATTAATTTTACTTTCTACATTACAGGGCTTACATAGAATTTGAAAGACCACAGAACTCCTACTTTCCAATCCTACCTGCTGTTTACCTTGCTTTGAAAATGAGGTTTAGTATAATTTTTTTAACATTAATTAAGGCAACATTTATGAAAAAATTATTTTAGAACGCTCTGAATGCTTTCGTAGGTATCTGCAAATGCCATTGACGTTGTACATTGCGGAGGACAATCAGAAACGGATGATCGAGAGAACCGCCAAGAAAGTTGCAAACAGTCGGGCAAAATCTTTGAGAACTGATAGGTATCGTTTATTTCTTTATGGCTTTATTGTTAAAGTACCTATGACACGAAATTTCACCCCAAATGTTTATGATGTACTATTTAAAAAACGAGCAGGAGTGTTTTATTAGGTTTAAAGCCACGAGCGCGCAGCGCGAGTGGCTTTAGACCTAATAAAACACGACCTGCGAGTTTTTTAAATGGCTTCAAAAACGTTTGCATAATAAGTCAAATCTTTATATAAAAATCAAATCTTTATATAAAAATCTTTATATAAAAATCTTTATATAGTTTGCATAACAATGGTCTTTTGTTAAAGTGTTCTTTAGCTGGTATAAAGACGTATGCACGTGACTAATTTCTTACTCAAGATTGGATAATTGCTTCATGAATTATTAATGAGTTTTTGAATGCATTATAAAGATCACTTAAAATGACTTAATAATTTCTTTTATAGAATTTTGGTAACTTGCTTCCTTTGCAAGATATTCAACTTTGTTTCATATGCAAATATCACCGGTGTGACATCACATCGCATAATGCATTTTGAAAACGCCTTGATAAAATACCTTGATAAAATAATTTACCTTGATAAAATATTTTTACAAACAAATACAGAGGGTTAATTACCAGTTATGAAATTAATATATATACAAGGGCAATTTTTAAGTTTTTTAGATACGTATTCGTCAAGAAAACTATACTTTTCTGCAAACTCATTATGTGATGTGATGTCACACCGGTGATATTTGCATATGAAACGAAGTTGAATATCTTGAAAAGGGAGCAAGTTACCAAAATTCTATAAAAGAAATTATTAAGTCATTTTAAGTGATCTTTACAATGCAACCATAAACCTTTGGGATGAAATTTCGTGTCATAGGCACTTTAATTATTTTAATTTTGTATATCAATAGTTAAGAAATTGACCGCCATCTGTTATCGTGTAACACTTTACTGCAACCCACCTATACTTTTCATTTGTGCAGGGTGATGGCTTCCATCAAGGATTCCAATGAAGCACAGAAGAAAGATGAACCTCAGGAGGTATAGTGTACTGTAGATAGGAATGTTCGGTATCAGAGAAATTTCCGGTATCGGTATGCCGAAAAAATTATACCGATATTATCGGTATACCGAAAAAATTATACCGATATTATCGGTATACCGGTCTTCCTGAAGGAAATTTTGAATAATTCTAAAAGGGAAAACGATAATTTCGAAGCTGTTTCGAACGACACGTACTCAGTGTAAAATCTCACTGAAGTGGAAATTCTAAATCATTGCAGTAGAAAGTTCTTTGAATTGCCATTCAGTAGTAAAATAAAGGTTATGGTTTCGCCATATAGTTGGTAAATTTAATACAGATACCGAAAAATTCCGGTATATCGGAAAAATCGGTATATTGGTATGGTTGAATATCCGGTATCGATATACCGATATTGATTTAATACCGATATTTTCGGTATATCGGTATACAGAACAGTCCTAACTGTAGATTCTCCTTGAAGGCTATGGGTCAGAGGGCAAATGGTTGCATTTTTCGAGACTACTCCTGGCTACGTCTAAATAACAGACCATTTGATTTTGATGGGGGGGGGGGGGCGGAGGCGCGTTTTGTTCGATTTTTTCTGGCCTCTACGACTCCGCACGATATTTTTTCCGAATTTTTGTGATATATTGGTTTTACAAACTTGCTGTGCTCGATATTTTTTTCATCAGTTCGGGGCATGCTTGATATTTTTTTTTGGGATTTGCGCTCCTCGTCCAACAAAAATCAAATGGTCCGTTCCTTATTTCAATCAAGTGGGATGCCCAAAAATCCTGGTATTCAAAGACACTAGTACTCTATGTAATTTTAACGTTTTGTCTGTTCTTCGTAGTTGGAGCTACAAGAAGTTGGTTTTATGAACGTGTATGTTTCTGAGGTGAGGCTTACGCTGATAGGTTATTATACATCAAGACAAATGCCGCGCACAGGGGCTGCGCTAACCCTCTTCTAGTGGGGGGGGTTGAGTGATCTTTTGCCGACTGTTTGGTAATTTTGCCGAGTCATTAGCCTATAGTAAATGTGCATGTTTAAATGCGCTTTATTATTACCCTCTTTATTACCCTCTAAAGGCCGCGAAGCGACCTTTTTCCTTTGTCGGCATCCATTTTGCCATGTCTTGCTGACGTAATAAGTGATACCGACAAAGGAAAAAGGTCGCTTCGCTAGTGGAAAACCGACTTTATTGCCTCTTTTATAGAACAGTAATAAACAACAACAACAACAACAACAACAACAACAACAACAACAACAACAACAACAACAACAACAACAACAACAACAACAACCAAACAAATTTAATTACCTAATTATGATTTCAATAATATTATGTTTTTGGACTGAAAGAAGTGAAGATACTGTATTGGAAAGAATTTGCATTGCTGCATGTGTGGTTTCTTTGATGCATGCTAGTCGTGATATTCGGTTTGAATTCAATTATTCAAGAAGTCAATTTTGGTTTCTTCAGTGGTTATCTTTAACCAATCCAGTTTTGCCGACTGAGATAACAATTTGCCGATTTGCCCCCCGCCCCTGTAGCGCCGCCCCAGGCCGCGCACTTCAATCTCGACATAAGATAACACTGATTATTAATCAGTTCAGATTGTGAGTGTACGAATAATTACGCCATTATTCTTGTAGGTCATTGATGCAGGACATTTCTGGGCTCAGCCTGGAGAAACGGAATATGCAGCCAAACTTTCCAATCTTATGACGGATATTAACGACAACAATAGCTTTCAGCTTGAGGTCAGTACATAACATAAAAATTTAATCATTCGAATGAAGTCGCTTTGTGAAGATCAAATTTTACGAACTGTTGGATCCATTTTGAAGTATTCAAACAGGGATGAGGTCAAACAAGGTAGTCACGCGACCCTGGTTAGCTGTTCTTAATGCTTTCCCAGAGATGCTTTCCCAACACTATCATGTTAAACTAAAACATATAGTTATAACACTCATCATAGCCTATCGAAGGGAAGATGGCTGTGAAACTTATTAGAATAACAATATAACTCATTATCTTTGTTGGTCAACGTTTATTCATAAATCTGGTCCTTCACCGTCACGTGTGTACCCAACTAACCAATAGGAATGTTTTAGGAAAGTCACCTATCCGTGACTCGAACAATAGGGAAACTGGAAATTGCTATTGGTGGATTTGGTAAAAAGACAATACACACGTGACGGTGAAAGGACCAGATTATGAATAAACGTTGAATAACATAAATAATGAGTTACATTACGGCCATTTATACGGAACAAAATAAGACGCGACTTAAATAAGACGCGAGTTTGTCGTATAAAAGGTACAAAATTCTTATGTAAGACGCGTCTTGGATAAGACGCGTCTTACATAAGAACAGGCCTTTTAGCTGTTCTTATCTAAGTCGCGTCTTAAATAAGAAGTTTTGGACAAAAAGTCTAACTACACATGCCAGAAACTTGAAACAACGTAAAATTATTAGCCTTGCATATTAAAACAAAAACAAACAAAACAACATTATAGCTATAGCAAATAAATAAGACCAAAGCCGTAGAGAACCATTTATGCGATAACTCCGCTTATTTAAGTCACGTCTTATGTAAGTCGCGACTTATTTTGTCCCGTATAAATGGCCCTAATGTTATTCTAATGAGTTTCACAGCCATCTTCCCTTCGATAGGCTATGCACTCATCAAACCATTACAATGTGTGACTGCCAACTCTCATCAATTCTCGTTTGTCCGGGGCTTGCATCTTGAATTCTCAGTATTAAATGATTTTGTTTTTAGCCAATGCCGTCCTATGTTCCACCTGGTTCGCTGTGTTTGGCGCTCTTTCCGGAGGACGAACTATTTTATCGCGCCAAAGTCATATCTTGGAAGAATAATCAAGTCGAAGTGATTTATGTTGACTATGGAAATATTGGAACCATTCCAATACAATTTCTGAGAAAGATACGTGAAGAACACACTAAACTACCATTTCAGGTATGTGTGGAAGGAAGGAGGGAGAGGGTGGGGCGAAAGGTGGAAGGGAGGGGTGGTGGACGAAAGAGTGAAGAGGGAAGAGAGTGAGGGAAGGAAGAAGGGTAAGAGGAGTGAAGGAAGGGGGAAAGGAAGGAGGGAGGTGGGTGCAAGAGGGAAGGAGGGAGGGGGTGGACGGAAGAAGGGAGGCAGGGGGAAGAAGGATGGGAGACAGAAGAGGGAAGGAAGAAGGATAACAGGTGTGAAGGAAGGGGGAATGAAAGAAGGAAGGATGGAGGGGGAGGGTGCAAGAGGAAAGGGGGTGGACGGAAGAAGGGAGGCAGGGGGAGACGGATGGGAGACAGAAGAGGGAAGGAGGAAGGACAAGAGGTGTGAAGAAGAAGACAGGGGGTGAGTCAGGTAGGAATGAAGGAAGAGTAACTGTTTGGATGGATGAATAGAATGAGAGGGAAGTGAGAAAGTATCAGAGAAAGGAAGGAGAAGAAAAGAAAGCATGGAAAAAGATATAAACGGACAGTTTATTTAATCTTAACCAGGCATTTGAGTGTCGTTTGTGTTATGTCCGCCCAGCATTTGGGGAGTGGGATGTCGAGGCGAACGATCGATTTAAAGATTTAACTTGGAATAAGCAATTGGTTGCCAAGGTAAAAACTCGTCTTACCTTACATGGGGGTGTACTTTAGAGGTAAATAATTGCCTTATTCGTCAAGATTTACTGCGAGCAATGTCGTGCAGCAGATGATGGTCAACCTGCAGTTATTAGAATGAAAAAGAGTAATATTACTTCATTTATTCCAGATTTTTTCTCGACTCCATGGCGCACTTCGTGTTGATCTCATTGATACAGTTTCATCTGAAGATGACATTCATATACATCAAGTTTTGATTGCCGAAGGTTTTGCTCAGGCCACAGATGAATCTTACGATTCCATTGTAAGTTCTAGTGCCTAGATTTCTCCTTATAAGCCTGGTTCACACTAGCAATTTTGTCGGCGATTTTGTGTTTCTGACTGATGCAATTGAGTGAACTCGCACATAAAAGTATAGAGTCGCTTTTCAGAAGTAAACAAGTGTTTTACATGTCATTCATTGCTTGTACTTATTACTTGCTCGCAGGAAATGTTAAACAGCTGCAGGAAATTCATTTGAATGAGATTCGCTATTGAAAATTTGAAGGAAACCTTAACAGCCATGTAACATATGGTTGACAGACATTATTTCTTGAATTTAAAACCATGGACAGCTTGAGAACACTATGTGTTTATGCACATGCAGATATAGCACAAAAATTCCCTGTTGGTCTGCAATAATTTTTTGTCTCCAGGTTGTGCTCCCAGGAAAAAATAATTTTTTTGAAAAAATTTGTCTGACATTGGTCAGCATTAGCCTTGATTGTGATCAGTTGGCATTGCCATAACACACTAACATTTCAAGAACTAATATATGTGGGCAACGGACGCTATTTTTGGCCTGTCAGGGAACCAGAACCACATGATATTGCAGGAATCGAACCTTGATCACAGAGGTCAAAAGCACATGTACTAACCAGTCATCTGTACTAATGGTTAATTCCTGTATTGGTCAACTCTAGCGTGCTCATGAAGATGCCGTAGCTCGCCTTGAAGTAAGAAATAGCCTTGGTGCTAACGATTACGACAGTGAGACAACTGGGTGGATCGAGTCTGATTCAACTTTAGCTGATGCTCAGTTGACTGGGAACTATGATGACAAAAAAGACGTGGTTACCAAGGTAACATATTGTTCGTGCTATTAGATTTGCAGATCTAAGAGAATTTTTGAATGTTAGGTCCCAGTTTAGGTAGCGTCAGACGATATTTACGAGGATGGTACAAGGATGCAACAACTTGAAACATGTGGAAAATATTTTGACGTTTCAAAGAAAGACCCTTCCTCTTGAAATTGGTTATCGAAGACTATATCTCAAAGTCGTTAATAATTCATGATTAAATTAGCCAACCATATTGCTTTATTTTGCTCACATGATTGATAATACTGGATACCTGATGAAGTATATTGATCCAGTCCTACGACTGGATCAAAATTAATTCAGTCCCTGGACTGGATCAAAATTAATTCACTAGTGATTTATGTCATTTCAAATCCTTCAATTCGGACTGGACTAGATTTCAAGTCCTCGCATTTTGATCCAGTCCTTGGCTTCAACTCGGACTTGATCAAATTGCGAGGACTTGGAATCTAGTCCAGTCCTCATAGTCGGTTTGAAATATTACATCACATGCTAAGGGACGGACCATTAGAAAAGTGATGGGGGGGGGGGGATGGGACATTTCCAACCTGTACGATTATTTTTTCAAAAATTTTTTTTTGTGTCGATAATTTTTTTTTAATCATCCCTTGCTCGAATTTTTTTTTTCAAAAAAGTGTTGGCGAGGGGGGGGGGAGAGGTTAACATTTTTTCAGGACACTAAAAAAAGGGTCAAAAAATTTTTAACGGACTAACATCAGTTAAGTTAAGGAACAAAAAAATTTTCCCTCAAAAATTCTAGTTAAAGCATGCTTAAAACCTTTTTTTGCACCAATATCTTCAGTATTTAGGTTTAGAAACTTTTTTTTCTCACACCATTACTTATGTCAAAAAACGTTTTATTTTCCAAATTTGGGGGCCACCCTTACACAGCTTATAATTTTCCCCATTGAAAAGTCTCTGCACGAATTTTTTTTTAACTTTTCGTGCTCGAATTTTTTCTGTTTCGAGCAGGGGCTCGATTTTTGCTCCCCCCCCCCCCACATCACTTTTCTAATGGTCCGCCCCTAATAGCTAAATTTTCTATTGACAGGTAACGCTTGGTGGTCCATTCAATCCCTATGAGATGCAGTTCTACAGTATGACGTGTGTTGGAAGATTAAGGTACTGTATACTAAAGAGACAACTGCGGAGAGATGCAAATACCTGAAATATATACGCAGAACTTCAACGTTTCGAGCGAAGGCTTGTCGTCGGGATGGTAGAACGAAAGAAAGGCCTTCGCTCGAAACGTCGAAGTTCCGCTTGGTATTTTTCAGGTAGTTGTATCCCTCTCAATCCACAACTGTCTTGTTATTGTCGCTATACCTACAATGGCACAGACCGCTCGAGATTATTTTGTAAACTAAAGCCCTGGGCAAACTAGGAAACATTGTTTCCTGCCAATATTTCGCCATGTTTCCCAGAGTGGGCAAACACTAGGAAACATTAGTGAGAAACATAGGTAAACATCAAATGTTTCTGAATTCGCTAGGAAACATTTTTGCTTCTCGGGAAGCAAATTTTGTTTTCACAACAATGTTTCCACGGGTGGGCAAACAGGAAACATTTGTGGAAACATCGAGAATCACAAATGTTTCCACAACAATGTTTCCTAGTTTACCCAGGGCTTAAGGCCCCGTTCACATGAGACCGGGACGAACTCAAACCAGAATGAAAATTGAAATTGTCAACATGTTTACACGAGACCTGTACGGAAATCACAAAATTTCAATGTATTCCCCTTGCCAGGCAATTTTCTTTCTTAGATGCTTTTGTTAGCATGTGTGTTCCAATGTCAAGGTTACAGTCGAGACCAGTCTGAAATGTAGTTGTGTTTACATCCATCCCAGTCTGAATTCATGCCGGTCTGAAGTCAGTCTGTTCTGTCCAGCAGGCGGAATGACTTGAGACTGGTCTGAGTTATTTTCGTCCCGGTCTCATGTAAACATCTATTATAAATAATACTATATGACCGAAACGAAATGGTCCCGGTTTGACTTCGTTCCGGTCTCATTACTCTCATGTAAACGGGAGCCTAAATGTCAGTCATTGATATGTAATGAAGTAAAAACTTAAAACCAAATCTTGACTTTCTCATTTAGAGCCACGAAGATCGAGCGAGATTCAGTGAACAGTGTGGCTTTGAACGATGAACCTCAAGATAAACATGACCGTTTCCTGGTCGCCTCCAACATTGGAATTAATACCACGGGCACTGTCATGATCGCAAGGTAACGATCCTGAGTTTTGATAACGAGATCCAGGTAATGATCCTGGGACACTCAGAGAAAACATGTAGTCATTCAACGCTGGAAATAGACCCATTGCACTGACGTCACAAATCCTTAGAGTGTCCTCCAGATGCTCCCTAACAATATCTGTTCGGTTACAACAACCACATACAGCGCAAACATTAACCATTTTAATACAAAATTATTATAAATTTTTACAAAATTTGCTTTGTTTACTAAAGTTATATTATACATAGATTGCTAATTTGTCCTCCAGATGCATCGCCACCGCCGCTGTGACGTCATACGCAATGGGTCTATACCATAAACTTCACAATGGACGATGTAGGATGCGCAATATAGGAATGATAGCACTGATTAGTGCTGAGGTGTAGGGATAGAAATTTGCGGTGTTCAAATGGAAAATAATTTACGCCCTGTAGTGCCGGGATAATATGAAACTAACGGCCCATTTTTACTCAAGAAAAAATTTCCATGGACAGAAAATTTCCGAAAATATCATTGTTAAAAATTGAACATTTTCAACTTTACAAAAAAAATTTCCGACGGACAATTTGTGTTGGCCAATCACATTTTACAAATTTTTCTTTCTGCAGAAAATTTTCCTGAGCGGAAACGGGCCTTAATTATACTGCTTTTTGACATGCCAGTGATCTGACCTTGTAGGGTATTGTTTATTTGCAGGGACACGACATTGATGCCAAATATTCATGGCTTAGCTGCTCTTGTTGGCCTGGTCTTCGCTCCCTGTGCAGAATTCAGGACAGATAAAAACAAAGACCGTTACACTGGTGCTATTATTGGCCTGGGTTCAGATCCCACTACAGGCGAGGCATTACTACCTGATCATGATATTGAACTCTCATTTGACTTTGCCTTCGTGCAAGACGATTTGGTGAAAGTATGTGTTCGCTGATTTTTTATTGGTTGGTTTCAGTAATGATATTAAAGTACATGGATAGGAAACTAGCTGACGTGACCTAATGTTTTCAATGGGATGATGGCGTTGAAACCTAGTTGCAAACCAAATTCTCAAAAACGGCATGTTTAGCGATAATGCAGCTAAACATTTTAGTCAAAGAGCAAATAAATATAACCTAAGCCATTCTACGAAGAAATCTCTAAGTATTCCCGGTCAATTTTAGCAAATATTTCAAGCACTAAACAGTGAAAAATGCATCGCAAATTTCGTAAAAATTGGCGACGCCAATTTCGTAGCTACAAATGTTAAAAAATACAAAACAAAGACGAGAAACATTTACCTTGAATACTTTGTCGTGCCTTAGGCATGTTTTTAAAACAATTAGACCAGTTTATGCTTCAATATTACTCTTTTAAAGCGGAAAATATAGCGAAACAAGTCAAACAACAAAAATGCTGTGAACGTTGGCAATACACGTGACGTCACAGATTGCAACTAGGTTTAGACTGTGACGTCAGGAAGTTTCCTATCCAGTTATTTTACAATCCATGGTTTCAGTAATGATATTTACCCATATACCTTACCATGACATCACCTTAGTATATATACACAGGGCTCAAAATAACGGGAGATAAGTCTCCGGTCAAAATGACCGGTCAGCTCGATTTTAGCTCGTTCAAAATCTGTTTTTGACCGGTCACTGATATTTGATACGCTAACACTAACAGTGAAACAAACTATTAGAAACTTGTTTCGATACATCATAGTTTCATGTTTTAATTCAAGACGTCTGCAATCACATTGGAAGGCATGAAAATGTGGCCGGTCAAAATGACCGGTGAGGTAAAAAAGTGACCAGTCAAGAGGCATTTTGGCCGGTCATTGTCCGTTGACTGGCCGTTATTTTGAGTCCTCGTACATGAATTTGCTGGTAGAGCACGACAACTGGACTCTGTAGCTTGGTTGGTTAGACGCTGCACCGGAATCGCAGGTTCGATAGCCAATTGTATCCAATTCAAAGAGCCTGTTTTTCGCAGCTGTTCCTGGTTTATGTCTAAATAAATGCATAAAATTACACTTGAAATTTCCATCTTCAAAATCCTTCTTATTTAGAGAAATGTTGACACTTACGCCCGTATTCTAAAAGCTCACTCACACTCGCACTCAATGAGTGGAGGTCCAATCTGAGCTTCTCTTGAATGTTAATGCTGTTTTTGAATAGCTGGAGGGCTAGTGTCATAACTTACTCGGTAACTACTCGCCCTCCAGTTATTCAAAAACAGCACTGGCACTCAAGAGAATCTCAGATTGAACCTCCACTCATTGAGTGTGAGTGAGCTTTTAGAATACGGGCGTTAAATAGGAGCGAGAAAATTAAAGTACATATTTCAATTCTATTTATTCGCCACCAAATCTAACATTACTACTTTCATTTCAGATCAACTCGTGTAGAAATGCCATAAACATAGCTGTCGGGTCTAACGAATCCGTAGCAGAATGGGGGACAGCCGCTGTGCAGAAAATTCAACAAAACTCGAGACGAGTATTACTCGAGTAAGTTCGAGTTTCATTTGTTTTAATCGTTCCCGATTAAAGTGCATTTGCGAGAAATTTTTTTATGATTGAATTACAAAGTTAATTTAAAATCATAATGTATGTTTTTTTCTAAAACTTTGTTATCTTTCCTGTATGTCAAGATATTGGACTTTGTTTGGCATGCAAGCATGACTTAAATGACGTCATACTGCATAATGTGTTTTACAGAAGACTGTTTTTACCTTGATAAAATTGTCACTAACTCAAATTTGCAGACGGAATGATAGTTTTTCAATGTCAGTGGACTTATCACATGTTTGGCAAGGAAACGTTTTCTTTAAGTCACTTTTGCATATCAAACAAAGGCGAAAATCTTAACAAACAGGAAAGATAACAAAGTTTTAGCAAATAAGTTACATTATAAAAAATCATAAAAAAATTCTTACAAGCTACATGAAGTCGGGAGGGCATCTCATGTCTCTAAAATTTTCTTGCAGGTTGATTCTAAGTTCTCGAGACGACCGGCAAATGTGTCCAAGCAGCAAAGCCTATCATTGGAACCAGGTAATCACAAAATAAAATCGAAACCGCGTTCATCTGCGTCACTGAGCTTCATTGACGCTGTGGTTTCTTGCTGAGTAGTACTGGACCAATAAGAGACGACCCTTACTGAACATTCAAGGAGAACAGTTTAGAACTGGACCCACTGGTAGAGGTATCCAGTATGAATAAAAGAGTTTAGTTTAAGTTTCCTAAACTTCGTCCTGTAGTAACACTGGATCACCAGGGAGAAGAGTTTAGAACTGATAAAGCTGTCCAGTATGAATAAAGTTAGTATAGTTTGGGTTTCCTCCTGTATACGTAGTAACACTGGAGCAATAAGAGATGATCCTTACTGGACCTCTAGGGAGAACAGTTTAGAACTGATAGTGCTATACAGTATTAATTAAATTGTTAGTGTAGGTTAGGGTTTTTCCTTTAGTAACACTGGATTAATAAGGAATGATCTTTACTGGATCTCTAGGGAGAAGAGTTTAGAACTGATAGAGCTATCCAGTATGATTAAAGTTAGTTTAATCTAGACGTGACTTGATCGAAGAAACTTTTATAGTGTAAATGGCCAAACTTTAAAGATAAACTATCATTTCATTCTCCTGCACAGATCGACAGCAAGGACTTACTCTCACCATACCATCAAGAGGACCTCGAAGATGAGCAGCCAATACTCTACCCTCTACATTATGGTGTCGCAGTCACTGAAGCAACGTATGCAGATACCATTCCTGATTATGTCGTTCAACGAAGAATGCATGTCCAAGGAATGCATGAGCAAGCCGGAGGGTAGGTAGTCGTATTACATTGCTTATAAATATCTGAGGAGGGGGCACATCTGTAGGTAACGCCACCCACACAAGTGAGCTGGAGGGTAGGTGGTCGTATTACATTGTTTATAAATATCTAAGGATGGGAGCACATCTATTGGTAACATTACCCACACGAGTGCATTTCCAAAGATTCCAAGAGCAATCAGGAGGGTAGGTGGTCGTATTACATTGTTTATAAATATCTGGGGAGGGGGGCACATCTGTAGGTAACGCCACCCACACAAGTGCATGTCCAGAGATTCTACGAGCAATCAGGAGGGTAGGTGGTCGTATTACATTGTTTATAAATATCTGGGGAGGGGGCACATCTGTAGGTAACGCCACCCACACAAGTGCATGTCCAGAGATTCTACGAGCAATCAGGAGGGTAGGTGGTCGTATTACATTGTTTATAAATATCTGGGGAGGGGGCACATCTGTAGGTAACGCCACCCACACAAGTGCATGTCCAGAGATTCTACGAGCAATCAGGAGGGTAGGTGGTCGTATTACATTGTTTATAAATATCTGGGGAGGGGGCACATCTGTAGGTAACGCCACCCACACAAGTGCATGTCCAGAGATTCTACGAGCAATCAGGAGGGTAGGTGGTCGTATTACATTGTTTATAAATATCTGGGGAGGGGGCACATCTGTAGGTAACGCCACCCACACAAGTGCATGTCCAGAGATTCTACGAGCAATCAGGAGGGTAGGTGGTCGTATTACATTGTTTATAAATATCTGGGGAGGGGGCACATCTGTAGGTAACGCCACCCACACAAGTGCATGTCCAGAGATTCTACGAGCAATCAGGAGGGTAGGTGGTCGTATTACATTGTTTATAAATATCTGGGGAGGGGGCACATCTGTAGGTAACGCCACCCACACAAGTGCATGTCCAGAGATTCTACGAGCAATCAGGAGGGTAGGTGGTCGTATTACATTGTTTATAAATATCTGGGGAGGGGGCACATCTGTAGGTAACGCCACCCACACAAGTGCATGTCCAGAGATTC